TACAATCGAAAAAGGGACACTTTCGCATGAAAGGAACATTCATAGTGTGATGGATAATAGCAATTTGTATAGTTTAGAGTGACATTTACGCAAAAATCACATCTTGGTTATTTTTCGATAACTAACAGCGAATTTGATTATGAATTTGTTTTATAAAATTCTAAGCTGTTGAAATATAAAAATATAGATTTTAACAAAAATGTTATGCTTAAAGAATGAAAAACACCTTACGGTACCTTTAAAATTGTATACGTCTTTCGATACCCTTGATAGATTATTCGTTACTTTTATTTTATGTTTCAAACGCTGAAATGTTTTAAATAAAATAAATTTTTTTCACATCCATATATTATTGTAACATGTACCTTTTAAAATTTTTTAGAGGAGAGGCTTTACTGTTGCTCATTTTTAACTCATCGTTTTAATTTTATATATCTGAAAAATAATCACTTTGGGCTTATACGTTTTACTTATTTGGGTTACTTAAAAATGAAATCCTTATTTTATTCCCTTTCAGAAATGTTCAGAGAAAGTTAAGTATTATTTAAAGTATTTCGTTAATTTCTAATAATTCTCTAATTTAAATGAACCGAATAGAGCATTAATTATAAATTGACTTATATTTTTCGATTTAAAAGATGCCTCAGAAGCCAAAAAATCATGTCTATTTAAGAAAGTATTTAGGAAGAAGCTCTATAAATAGAAAGAAATAATGCATAATTTTAATATTAATAATACAATAAACTTTTATCTTAATTTTGGTACCTTAACCGAAATCAAATCGAAATTACCTTAAATTTTTTTTTCTAATGTAATTAACGAAAAACTTGCGAAAATATTTCATTCAAATTAGACCATCTGAGAAAACTATTCTGTGAAAAGTAAAGCATTTAATTTCGTTCAGAATGAAATGTTGTTTAAAAATATGTTGTTTCATACTTTAGGACTCTGAAGTGTTGTAGAAAAAGAAAATATATATACATTTATATGTCTATTTACGACATAATTACAAAATATTTACATCCGATCGCATCAAAACCCATTGAACTTAATGGTAAATGACCCAATGTTTTAGTCACCACGTAGGGATCGCCAGTGCTTCAGAGCAGGGTACAGGAGAAACCTGTTTAGGGATTAAGACACAATAACACGCCGAACAAATACTAATTCAGAAGTCAAACAACAAAAACCAGCGTTATATTTACCAAATTTTCACAGGACTAGTTTCGATGGTTTTACCGAACCACCATCTTCAGCTGCAAAACCGCAAATGAACCAGATAGGAAATAATGATTAGATAAGATAAGAAAGCCTGGACAAGAATAAGCAAGTGGCGCCATCTGTTGGTGAAACCAGAACTAAAACATAATTTCTTTAAAAGCCGAAGGCAAATTTGGATTGGAATTAGGATCGTTAACTAGAACAGAAAGATTTTTATGAATGTGAAATGCCTCTAGAAAATCCAGTTCTCCCATGGAAGATGTTTTTTGAATAATTTTGGCAGCAGAAAAACTGAAAGTGTGGTTTTCGGACCAACAATGTTGAGCAACAGAAGACTTCTGTGTTTCCTTTTTTCTAACATATGCCTCATGTTCCTTGACGCGAAATTTTAAGGCTCTCTTAGTTTGGCCAATGTAAATTAAACCACACTGGCAAGGAATCCTATAAATACCCCAGGAATTCATATCCGGAATGGGGTCCTTGAGTATGGAACTCGGAATTTTATTGATGGGAGAATAAACGACCCGGAAGTTAAATTCTGCAAAATATGTGCAACTTTATAGCTAATTGATGGAAAGAAGGGAATGACAACAGAATTTTTATAATCTCCTAAAACAAGTGTGCCTTTTAGTGTGTTGAGATGAGAATTTTTTAAACTGCTTGATTAATAATGTTGGGTGGAAAGCCCCTGTCAATAGCTATTGCTTTTAAATAATTTAGTTCTTCATCAAGGGCTAGTTTGGAGGAGCAAACTTGAAGAGCACGGAAAACATAGGAATAAAATGAAGCTAACTTTTGTTTAGTCGGATGACATGATTGTGGAAGGCAACCGATGAAGGTTTACGTAAACCGTAGTACTGAAGTTGGATGTGTTACGTGTGACCAGAATGTCGAGAAACGGAAGAGAATTGCAAGTCTCAAGTTCAAAAGTGAACTGAATAGCAGGATCAATAGAATTCATTGTTGAAAGAAACTTTATTTAAATCATCTTTATTACCTTCAAACAGAGTAAAGTATCGTCTACGTAGCGGAACCATGCCGGGAAGTTTAAAGTTTCAAACAATTTTGATTCATAATAATGCATGTAGATATCAGCCAGGATGGGACTGAGGGAGCTTCCCATGGCTAATCCCTCAGTTTGCTTGTAATATTTATTTTTGGAAAACAAAATGTGTTTGTTTCAAACAGAGTTGAGTGAGAAATTAGCTCATCAATTTCGATGCAAGAGAAATGAAATTCGCGAAGTCTGGTTTCTAGACATCTTAATGCACCTTCCACTGGGACATTGGTGAATAATGATTTTACATCAAAAGAAACCATGAGTAAATTACTAGGAGAAATGTTTTTAACTTTTTTTACAAACTCTATTGAATTTTTTATGGTGTAAATGTTATTGTCTAAGAGTTGAAAATCTAGAAACTAAATATTTAGCTAATGGATACGAGGCAGTACCTAAATTTGATACAATAGGGCGGAAAGGAATACCACTTTTATGAATTTTGGGAAGAGCATATAATCTGGCACAATTCGCAACAGATGGGATAAGCGAATGTTTTAAGTTGCCTGAAATGATTTGCGAAGATTTGATCGCAGTTTTTATTTTTGACAAGTCCGAAGGTGAAGGATCTTTAGGGATCGGATTATATGGTCCTTCGTTTAAGAGTTTAGTGACACCATCGATGTAAGTGTTCCTATCCATGACGACTATCTGGCCACCTTTGTCGGCCTTTGAAATGATAATATCCGGGTTAGAATGAATTTCACGCATGTAGCTCTTTCTCTTCTCTCTCGCAGTTAGATTTGGTTTCAAAGGTTTATTATTGAATTTCACATTATGAGCGATAAGATGCCTAATTATTTCTTTCTGTGAATCTGAAACTTTACTGAACTTGAAAGCTTTTTCCGATAGGAGCCAAAATCTTTGGAATCGAGGGTTTACAGGTTTGTGAGAAGTTAAAATTATATTTTAGAATTCTCTCTTGTTCTTCTGAAAGACTAACATTAGAAATATTAACTATTGGCTTGATGTTTACAATGGGAAGATTTTTTAAACTACTTGAACTGAAGACTGTAAAAGAAGTTTTTCGAATTTAACTGCAAGGGTGTTTTTATGACGGTTAACTGCATTCTCCGTTCTAGACCAAGACTTTTGTTCAAGGGCAGTGAATTTTGGATATGTTTTAGCGAGTTCCAGATGAAGCTTATAGAGTTCATGTTCAATTTTGGACAATTGTTGACGTGTATCCCTTATGACGGACCGAAGTAAGGCAAGCTTGCAATTTAACAGAATTCTTGAAACGCGACTCGAAGGTTTTTGATTAGATTTGATTTGAATAAAATTTGGGATCAATTTTTTACATTTACATTTAAGTAAAAAGTCAAGATGATTCAGGAATTTTTGCCGTTTCAGGCGTAATTTAGTGAAACGATTAACGGATGAAGGCATGATAAACAATACAGAAAATCAAGCTAAATTAACTAAACATAATAAAGCACACACAAAACAGCAGAAAAATCCCTCACTGAAATTAATAGAAAACAAAACGTTTGTAAGCAAAATGCATGAAATCAGACAAGCAAATCACAATATCCAAATATACAAAATATAAACATAACTTGAAAATTGCAAAAAAGTACTTACCGAAACTCATGCAATCACAAAATGGCGGCCACACCACGTGCAAAAAAGAAAGCAAAAAATAAGCCTGTTTGGGGCTTCTATAATTAAGACACAATAACACGCCGAACAAATACTAATTCAGAAAGCTTTCTGAATTACTGTTTAGGGATACTCCATCTTACTTCCTACCTCCATGCTACAGGTCATGCGATCCCCCCCCCCAGTTTAAGAAACCCTGCTGTATACAATCTTTTAAATATAATTAATGTAATTTCTCAATGTCTCGCATAAGTTTTTCACACAAGAATAAAGTACAGCCGCAGACATACACATACGCTTTAACAACTAAGATATCATAAGAATATCAGTTGTATATTTTTAACAACACATTTTCAAATGTAATAAGGAATGACAAAAAATACAGCATGCTGTGTCTGTTCAAATATAAATAATTAAACAATAACAAATTAGCACTCATATTTGAAGATTTTAAGGTCGTGTGTTTCTAGAACCACCCTGTGTTAAAAAGTTTGCTATCAAATCATTTTGATTTTAACTTCAAATTTCAATAGTTATTAGCAAAAATGATGGAAAAAAAAAAAAAAAAAAAAAAAAAACCTCTAAATTAGAAATAAAATTAATATAAGTTACATAATTCATACATAAATCCAATATAAAATACTGTTTTCAGAATTTTTTTTTTTTGATTACAGGACAACATCCGTTAAACAATTTTCCCAAGACAGGCATAAGTGCCAAGTTGATACTCCCAGAAAGAAAATACACAATCTCTCTCTCTTACATGTGCACACAGACACATGTTGTTTTGACATATTTTGTAGTTATTTGTTTGCATATCAAGAAAAGCAGAAAATTCACTGTCCAGGTGGCAAAAGTTCTAGGTATGCCACTGGTAAAACTTTTCTAAACACAAGGAAATGCATTTCTCAGATTAGTTAGCCCTAAGCAAAATAGAATAACACATTTTGAGTTTTTTTTTTAATTTCTTTGAAAGAAGAATACATTTAATTTAAAGATGGTCAAAAGACGGCATTCCCACACAAATTTTTTTACAGAAAATTATTAGACATTTGTTGTTCTATAATAGCAAAGGTTTTAGCTTTTTAATCATAAGGCTATTAAATATAACAGGAAGAAATAAACTGAGTATATTTATCCTTTATTCAATTCACATACATACAAATATGCTTACTAAACATATACACTTTAACTATTCTTTAAAGCAGCTCTTAATTTTGCAGAGCGACTTCTTGGATTTGCAGCTACTTCTTCAGATGATGGTTTAATTACATGCTTATATAATGGAGTCCATCTCTTTGAATACAATTCGTCTATCTCTGCCTTGGCATGCCAGAGTGCAGCATTGGCATATTTCTGACTTAATGATTGACTTACAGGCTCATCCATATCAATGCCAAGAAAGTGACGCTTAACTACACGATCTTCTAAAGAATGAAATGTAATAACAGCAATTCTTCCACCAGGTTTTAAGAATAAATGAGCCATCTCCATTGCATAGTTCAATTCATTTAATTCATTATTCACAAAGATTCTTAAGCCCTGGAAGATTTTTGTTGCAGAATGTGATGCTCTTCGCAGCTTATCAAATCTTTCTTCACTATATCAAAAAGAAAATACATGTTAATAACAATGCTATTAATTTTCTGCTAATCTGATTTTAAATTATTAAAAATGATGAAGAAATTAAATTTCAGATTAAGTACCTAAATAAAATAAATAAATAAATAAAAACTCCCACTAAGAAATGTGCAGTATTCCAATTTTTCCCCCAATAGCTTTAGCAGCATAGCTGCAAAACTTTCAATTTTAAAAGAAGGAGGGAGGGGGTCAAGTTTTTTTTTTTGCAAAGAACAAAAGTTTTGGACTTCCTGAGATGTATTTCTCCCCCCCTCCCCCGGTTAAAAAATTTACCTGGAAATAAGCTGAAGTAATAAACAGAGTTATAAAAAAAGAGGGAACATAACTTTCCTTTTCCATAACCTTTGTTACTTTTATTAGGTATTCAAAGAATGGATAACACGAGGGCTGTTCCAAAATCCCTAAAGCAGCCTTGGCTAGAAAATATTAACCATCTTCATAATTTTAAGATATCTTTAATAGTAGCAGTCATATACAAAAATGTTTATTTGCATACAATTATGATTTTTTTTTAAGTTACTAAAATTTATAAAATGAAAGAGCACATAAACAGCTCAGCTTTTAATTCACTTTTAATGGCTGCTTTAAAAATGAGTTTTGTCAAAACTGCTATGCTACTTTGCTTCATTCATTATCATGTACTGTTAGTTAGCAGATAATTTTGAAAATCAGAGTAATTCATACATAAAATACCAAAACATTAAACAGATATTCAGCAATGGTATCAAGTTTTATTTTTGAAAAAGGGTAACATTTTTAAGAAAACAATTTTATACTTGAATAGAATATGAACTGGACGAAGTAAGCAACATCAAAATGTGGCAATTGAACTTCAATGACTGATTCAGAAAATCAATCAGAAAACAAGATTGAGCTGGCTGCAGAATTATCAGAGGAAACTGGGCCCCCAACTGTGAGAAGGAGACTTATAGCAACTAGTTGGAGAGGTGGCAATGGTAAGGGGAAGAAGATGTCAGGGGCGGGGAATCTTAAACTTTAAAATGGATTTTATTACACAGTTTACAAAGGAAGAATAGCCAAACATTTTTTTTTTTTTTTTTTTCTTTCTGATGAATTAGACTTTCGAGTAAGCTTTGTTTTGTTTCTGTTTTCCACAAAAATAATCTTTCAGACACGTCTAAAATATTTTTGGTTACAAACTACTCTCTTAAATTACTACAGTACAGAGTCCATAATCCAGACTCGTCGGGACTTCAGCGATTCCGTATTATAGATCATCAATTTAAATCTGGTAAGATGGCATGCAGAAATTATACTATTAAAAATATGCAACAGTAATTTATGAAATAAAGAGCAATTGAAGCAAGGGTATCAAAATTTACGAAAAAAAAAAGTTAATATTTATTTGTTTGCTTTATTAAACATTTCTTCCAATGTAAGTTGTTTATGTTGCTTCGTTTTTTTGTGCTAATATTCTATAAACAGACACAATTTCTTGTTCAGTTACAAAGTTCCACTGTTCAAGTCCTGTAACTGCTGTGTCGAGAATACCGACTAACTTGTCAATCGAAAATTTTTTTGTTTTCAATAACCTCTCTGTCACTTTCTTCACTATCGGAAGCAGTATTTTCTGGATCTAAAACCATACTACAGATTTCGCCATCCGTTAATTGATTGATGATTGGGGCATTGTCATTGCAATGAAAAATTTCTGTTATATCATCTTCGTTTATTACTGCTTCTCTACATTTCTTTACAAAATCCAATAACTGGAAAATTTCACCTTTAGTTTGCGATGTCCAAAAACTTTCAAATTTGCGTCTATCATCTTCATCGTCCTCACCATGAAATATGGTTAGCTGGCCATAAATTATGCCAAGCATTTTTTTAATGCATCCTGAGACACATCCTCCCAAAGTGCATGCACATGAGTAAACGCGCATGCGTAAAGTATACAAAAAAAAAAGTTTGTGGCTTTGAGGTCCGGATTATAGATCATTCCGGATAATGGATGTCCAGATTACGGACTTTGTACTGTATTTTCTTCTTGACTTTTAGGTGTTTGGCACACCTGGCAGCAAGTGGTGTAGGCAAAATGCATATTTGTGAAGGTTACATGAAGAGCTAAAAACCTATTAGTTTCCTTGAAATGACTTTAAAACTACTATTTTGTAAATTATTTTGTGGCACAGCATTGACAGAACCAAATTTCAGCAAAATACCATACCACAAATCAATAACTCTAATGCAATGGATTCTTCCTAATAATATTTGTATTCTATACTAGCCATTTTCAAAAAGCTATGTCAGTACTAAATAACATCCATAATTTCCCTTAAAGTGCTCTTGAGCAAGTTTGAAGTGGCATAAATGCAGAAGTGTGTCCTAAGCTAATAGCGAGTATGCTGAGCAGAGTTGCTGTTATAATTAAAGCGAAAGGTGGGAACCTAAATTGTAAGATTCTGAATAAATAGCGCTTATATTAAATGATAAAAAGTTTGGTTTCTATTTTTCTCAAAACTATTGAAAAAAAGTGCATTGCGATAAGGTGCTTAATACTTTTGGCCAAGGTGCATTATTATAAGGTGCTTTATACTTTTGGCCAAGAAAAGACTGATTAGTTCAGCAAAGACTGCACCAGTTCTGTAGCTGTTGTCCACTAAGATAACTTTTATCATGGTTTATGAATATGAGTAAAGGCAATGAACATTTGTCGTTTGTTTGCTCACAATAAAATCTAAACTTCAGGGGTCATTACAATAGCAGATGAGAGGGATATATATGATTTTTTTTACAAGGATCATTACTGAATTTTAAGTTAAAGAATTTTTACTGAATTTTATATCAAGTTATGTGACAACGAATGGGAAGCATTTGAGGTAATCAAACTAGCATTTAATGAAAAAGAAAGAACAGATTTGTCATGATCAAGCAACAGAAGGCAAATGGCATATTACAGATAAGCTATGAAGTGAGGGTTTACCAACATCTGTGAAAGAGAACAATGAGAAAGATGCAACACGTTTGAAAGAAGATTTATTGGTATTTCCTTTTCAAAACAGCCACCACATAAACTTTTAGCTACATTTGACATTTGCCAATTACAGAATACTCGATTATGTTTACCGATTTTGATGACTAAGTGCAGTGGATACTACTTTAACACAGAAGTATCCTTTTATTGCTCAAGGAATTGTCAGTTAAACATAACATTTAAAAAGCAAAATATCACAATATTATTTACAAACCTGAAAATGTTTCATCTATTAATAATGGGAATTGAAATTAACTAAATTAAAAACACACACTCTACCCACTCAGCACTATCAAACCTGTCTTCCATAAATGGGACAACATCTTGAACTTTTGAACAAAATAATTAGTACTGAAGAATCCTGTATCAAACATTACGATCACAAATCAAAGCAGGATTCTATATGGAAATATACTAACTTACCATCTTCCAAGTAACTTTAGTTATCAGATTCCTTAAATAAATTAATGTTGATTTTGTTCCTTGATATCAATATTGTGGCAAATTGTGAATGAAGACTATTACGCTATTATTTTGCGAGGAGCAGGGTCAGTGCTAGGCCTTTTACCCATAAACTACAATCTTTATGGCTCCATAATTCAGTCACCAGTGCCATTCTAAATTCTTTCTATAAACAGCATTAAGCAGAAAAGACTTAATCTGCTTCCCTATGCTTTTCCCATCAAGATAACACTAAATTCCATGTAGCATGACAGGTTATGGAAGCTTGGAAGAAAACTAGTGAGCAGTCTCCAGACCTGAACCTGTTTCCCCTAATGACCCCTTTTAAAAGAATTCTTTTCTTTATTGCCCACCTTACATTTTTCTCTATAATATACAGCATGCAATATAATCATAATACAAATAACTTGAATTAGACTAAAAACTTGAATTAGAACTAAAACTTGGATTAGACCTCAGTGAGCAATCCATGATCTAAAGAGTATCAAAATTTACAAAAAAAAAAAAAAAAAAAAAAAAAAAAGCTTAATATTTATTTTTTACTTTTTAAACATTTCTTTCGTGTAAGTTACTTAAGTTCTTTGTTTTTGTGCTTTTTTCTCTTTAATTCTCTTTTTAAACAGACATAATTTCTTGTTCAGCTACAAAGTTTCACTGTTCAAATTCTGTAATTGTTGTGTCGAGAATACTGACTAACTTGTCAATCGAAATTAGTGAAGCACGCATGTGTAAACGCTTTACTGGCTTTACGTGCATGCGTAGTGGATGCGCACATTAAACGCGCATGTGTAAAAGCTTTATGCACATGCGTAAGTTTGTGGCTTTGAGGCCCGGATTATAGATCATTCCGGATAATGGACATCCAGATTACGGACTTTGCACTGTATTTATTTTATATGACAAATAGAAAACTATAAGACACGTTGGCTCTCTCTATTTTTAGAAGTTAACCGTGAGCAAGTCAGGTGTGACCAATTCGACGACAAGTAAGTACACTTCCTCCTTGTGGTACACTTACAGCATTTCATTATAGATTTCAAATGTCTTAACTTATTATTAATATGGGTATATATATCTGCTTCATTTCTGTGATCCAAAATGAGATGCATATACATAAACTTGTATTCTCAAAATGTTTGGAAACTTTTAGAAATTCAATTCTTACATTGATCCAAAGAGGAATTTGAAATTATTTTAATACTTGGACATTCATTCCAGACATTTTGCATTCTTCAATCAATGAGTGAGGCCTTTTCAAAAAGGAAGAAGTCCAGGAAGGTCATGCTTGAAAAAGGAGATTATCTGAATCATCTAATATAAGAAGACATCATACAAGATGTTCAAATAATAGCAAAGAGACAGTTGCTCATGCCTTAACTGAAATGAAGCAATCTACAAACAAGCTCTGCACAGATGATGTTCAGAAGGTTCTAGAATAAATGCATAATGCCTGATGGCAAACAGTCTCAAATTTTCATGATGCAGATTGACGTGAAGATCAGAACTCCTCAAAGGTATTATCTAACTTGAAGCTGATTAGAGCTCCATAAATTCAAAGCACAGAGCAGCAGTCAGCTCCCCACTTTGTGTTCAAAAGAACTTTTAGGAGTTTGTAGTTTTCAGTCATTTTTTTAACATATAAAATGTGTGGAATAAAAGAAATTATTATTATCCAAGATATTTTAACTCTCATTCAGCTGGAATTAAAGATCCTATGGGTCTGAATGTAGGCTTCTGCAGTAGTAAAAGTGCACACATTTAGTCTTTGGCCTTGAAAACTTAAATCTATGTTTGTCTGATCACCTCAGAATTTTATTCAGGACAATTTGCAGCTGTCCCTCAACATACCTCATGTTGCCCCCACTGCAACTTATCATTAAGTCATCCACATATAATGTCCCATTAAAAGGAAGTTCTTTCAAGATAGAATTTATCTTCAGGCTAAAAAATGTAACATGGAGGATGTAACTGTGATGAATTTTGAAAACACAGAAGCAAGCTTTATTTGGAATATCCTATTTTTTAAAAAATTCTCAATAAAGATAGGTAAATTAATAATAATTAATATCATAAATAGCCTGGAGAATGCCATATCTCCAGATCTTATCATATGTGTTTTCTATGTCAAAGAAAACAGATACCAAGTGTTTTTCCTAACAAAGGCATTTTGCACCAAGGTCTCTAATATCCCAAGATTATCAATAGTCCATCTACTTCTGTGAAACCCACTCAGATATGGCAAAATGCAGCCACTCTTTTCCATATAATAAAATATATGAGAGTTTGCTGTTTTCCCAAAATTTTGCATAGGCAGCTGATAAGTGCTATAGGTCTATAATTGCAAGGATTCTTAGGGTCTTTAACAGGTTTGGCTTAGGGACCTTACCAGATTTCCTCCATGCATGTGGGAAAATGTTCCAAGGACATATAGATGTTTGATACATGGAAGGATCAGGAAACTGATCGAGCAAAAGAACTGTATAGATGGTTTTAAGCAGGTATGTAGTTATGTGAGGCAAAGATAAGCATAAAATTATAAGCCTGTTCAAAACAACTCACAGTTTCCAATAGTAAACTGAGTATTTGTGGTGTTTTATGAGTTTTGAATAAGAATGGAAATGATTTTATAAAATCAGAGTTGGAACTGGCTAAAAAGACTGTGACATATGTGAAGAGTTTTTGTAGGAAAGTGCGCATGCAGTTATACTTGGAAAAGCATGGGATGTTCACAGGGGGAGGGTATGATTATGGAAACTGATGAATACAAATTTAGAAAACAAAAGTATCCATATAGGGTAAAGAGTGCAACAGCATTTGTATTGCTTGAAATGTTTAATTATTGCTGAAAATAACTTCTGGGATTCATTATGATTTTAAAGGCTAAAAGGCATGTACCTGCCTAGAGTTCAAAAGCATAAGCATTTGAAAGTAAACCACAGTTTCCATTTCAAGGATCCTGAAACATATTAATCAAATTGTAAGAGTTTGGGAAAAGAAGTCTCTGCTCTATTAAAAGAAGTCTCTGCATTATTTAGGAGACAATAAGGCAATGTGATTCTTATCTGCCCAAGTACATGTGAAGATGCTGGCAGAAAGAGTCTTAACACCAGTGAATTGACAAAAATATTACAAACTATGATCTCATCAGTGTATTCTGCAAAAACTATGATGATCAGTGTATGATGATCAGCAAACTATGATCAGTGTATTCTGCAAAAAGGTGAGCAACGAAGTTTCATTTATTATTATTTTTTTATAAACAGTGTTTGTTATTTAATTGCAATTGACATTTTATTTTCTATTTGCAGTATTGAGTATTATCATAAATTTGTAGTTCTTATTTAATTTTTATCACATTTTCCTTATTGTACAAAATTGATCTTAATCAGATACTGATGTCACAGAGAATATAAATATGTGTAAAGGGAATACAACCTCATTTAGAAATTTAAGAAATAATACAATGTATAATATTCCTTTACTGTAAAAAATATTTTATTTGTGTTTATTAATGCTAAAGATTAAAATTTTAGAAAATAAAAAAAATTTCTCCACTATGGATAATCTTGGGATATTAGAGACCTTGGTGCAAAATGCCTTTGTTAGGAAAAACACTTGGTATCTGTTTTCTTTGACATAGAAAACACATATGATTTCACTAGTACACAACAGAGGATTGTAAGTGTAGCAGTAAAGTAACCTGCTAATAGTAGAATTGAAGTGTCCCATAACATAGACTTGGATTAAAAAGTGTTTATTATAATACCAAAGCTTTACATTTCTGAAAATGTTAAAGTTGCATGAGATACAAGACTGTGATATTATTTACCACTTTAATGAATGATAGAATTGTATCGTGTTATATTATCTAAATTTAAAATAAACAGACAATTATGCTTTTTTTTCCCTTCACTAAAACCAAAGCTTAAATAATAGAAATGTAAATTTGACATAAATAATTTAATGTTAATTCAGAACTATAAGCAACTCATTATTAAAATTTTCAGTTGAAAGTAGTAAATTAAATGAACTACAGAATGCTGGAATAGTCTATGATATCATAGGCTTAATTCTACCACTTATGCAATTACTAAGGCCCACCAGCAGCCAAGCGGTAGAAGTCACGGAAAACCGGCAGTTTCACTTGAGTTGAATTCCAGGCAAATGGGCTGGCTACAAGGATGTCTTTATGGTTTTTCCCATATATATGTGAACAAGTTTCCCTTAAAAGATCTTCCATGAAGGCATACATTCCTTTCGGCAGATAGCACTCGCATGTTTTGCGAAAATTAAATACATCAAACCAATAAGCCTCACACATTATATGTTTCTTATGCAGCACTTTTACAGATACACACACTTATAAATCATGAAGCTAACTCTGGTGAACATTAAGATTTTTTTTGCATTATACATACCCATCTAATATTCCTTCAATTAAATTACCCATCTAATATTCCTTTAATTATACTTACCCATCTAATATTCCTTCAATTAAATCAGCTAATTCATACGTTGTATTAATGGACTTCAACATATATCGAGCATCAAAGAGAGCCTGAGCAACTTTTTTTGAGCGTTTTTCTTCACCATAAATTTTAAAAATCTTCACTAAACTGGGCACATCCAGACTGCTTAAAACATCTGCAGCTGTAGGTTCATCTGGATACCTAAAATATTAAGTCACACTGACATAAGATACATCATTGAAAGAAATAAAATGATTTATTTATTAATTTTTTGTACCTTCAATTATAAAGTTTTTAAACTTCATAACAAAACTAGCTGCATCTGCCCAGTGTTGCTACTTTTGAGGAAGTGAGCTTTTGGTAATTCGTGGCTTGTTGTTCCTTGTACAGTGTACTTAAGAAGCTGAAATTTTTTTTTAGAGATGTCAGTATATAGTAATAGTGAATATCACAGAGAAACTAGAAAATTGACCTCCCTGTAGTTTTTTGCTTCCCTCTTACAAAAAAAGGGGGTGGAGGGAATAATCTCTTATTAAAATTTTTTTAACTAACTAAGACATGGGAGATGAAATTTTTTAAATTGTGCTTAGATATCCAAAATAATGCTTTGTAAGCCTACAAATAATGTTTTAGATTTCCTTCTTGAAAGATATGAATGATAGTCTCTCAGATAATCCCTGACTACATAGAAGCATGAATATCAAAATACCAACAGATTCCAAAGCAAACATAATAGCAAAGTAAATGTGTAAAAACAAATTAAAAAATATTATTTAGAATTATTTTATAATTTTTTAAATTACCATTCAGTGGGAAAAGTCAGATAGAATAATTAAATCTTTAATTACTACATCTAACTTTTGACCATTGCCAGATTCTTTCAAAAACGATCACTATCTGAACTAACTGAATATTATGGTCTTTTGTACATCTCAAAGCTCTCCCACAAATTTCTAGTTTATACAGACTCCTATAGTGCTCTTAAATCGTTGGAAGCTTTCTCAACATCAGAACCTGGGTAGTGGATGTTCTCGGATTCATATGAATTAAACGACTCGAGGATATGAATCCTGACTGCTGGGTTCTGGCATAGCGGGATAAAGGGAAATGAGCTTGCAGATATCGCAGCAAAATCTGTTGAACTGTTCTGCCTCATCCCTTTTAGGACATCTGCTGTGATATCAAGGGGAAGATCCGAAAAATGCAGCAAATTTGGGACGTTCAGCTTCACAACAAGTTAAAAAAGGTAAAGCCTGAATTGAGGATTGGGATTTTGCGGAAATCGAAGGGGAAGTTCTTTTGACTTGCCTCAGATTGGTCACACTAAGTGACCATAGCTTATCTTCTGAAAGCTGAAAATGAGCCTACTTGTTTAATGTAATGTTTGTGTATCTGTCATCATTTTAATGAGTGTCCATGTTTAATAGTCTTTGTCCGAAATATTTTAATAGCTGTGACTTACTTCTCGACCATTTAATCGGAAGAGAGGTCAATTGTAATTTATTTTATTATTTAAAAGAGACTGGCTTTTATTACCTAATGTAATTTGAAGATTGTGTCTTGGATTTTAATGTGTGCTTTTACTTTGTTTTTATATGACTTCATCCTCTGGATTTGGTACATTTGTCCACTTGTTGTTATTTCTTGTATTTTAATTTCATAAATTGTAATCATCCCATCTCGTGTTTGGTGCATTATAATCATCTTTGGTTTTGCGCCAATAGCCTCTCACTCACTCGCAGCACACCATCATTTAGATAATTTTTAATTTCCTTCACATTATGCATTTTGCATTTCTGATTCCATTAGCACATTACTAGTTTCATTAGCATTTCTTTGTATTCTTTTTCTCCCTTGGTTAAAATTAATTCAAGAACTTTTACTAGGTACCAAAATTCTACAGTTATATGACTCTTGCTTCTCTTACTCCTAACAGAAAGAAGCTTATTTCCAAACCATTCTGATTTGTACTTTCAAACTGGCTTGTTGGCTAAATGGCATTTTCTAGTGCAGAAAATATGTGTACTGAATTGCAGAGAGCATTCTGAATGATAAACAAACTTACCTTTTTAGGACATGGTTTAGTAAGAAGCTCAAAAAGTTGCATTAAAATTGCTTTTATGTATCATTAAATATAGCAGGATAGCTGCATAATAGTGCTGGCCCTTTTATGCAAGCTGACCAGAGTCTGCCAAACCTTTATGGTAGTGCTCCAATGTAAAAGAGCCAGTACATTTATAAAAATCAATTTTTAACTTTAAAAAAGTAATTTTCATGAAGACACCATCATTTTCATGCTATACTAACAAGTTAAAATAGGATTGCTGCATAACAGTGCTACCCTATAAAAGCATTAGTCACTTTATAAAACTTGACTATTAACAGCAAGACACAACAGGAGTGTCCTGGCCAGCTCTGACTCTTGCATTTTTGGCATTAGCTGATCTAGCAACACATATAAATTAAATGCATTAAGAATATAAAGCAAAATATACTCTCTCCTCACATTAAAAACTGATCATCATAAGATTGTGAGTACTTTTATGTAGGTTTTTTTCTTGGTGAAAAGTAGTCAACTCATATAAAGATGGTATTACTTTAAGGTCACTTTAAGGTATAGCTGTGAATACATACAATCAGATAAAAAAAAGTTTATATGATACCAACTGAGTAGTTACAAAAAACTATACTGTAATGCTAAATATACACTACGTTTCTTACCTACTCCCATCCATCCTCATATCCAAGGGCCCATTTTTACTGACAGAAAAACCTCTTTCGGGACAATCCATTTGCATTGATGAACACCCGGCATCAATCAATATACCATCTATGCTATTTGGTAGCACACCAACTTCTTTTAATACATCTTGCACTTCACTGAATCTTCCAAGCAAAGGGGTCACAGATGACCTATAATGGAATTTAAGAATTTAAATATATAATAATAATAAATATATATATATATATATGTCAAGTTTTAATTATTGAAAACTAGCATTTCGTTATGACATTATACTATATTATTTCTATATTTCTACCCTTTTAGTTATTAATTTTATCCCCATTACTAAAACTTACAGAAAAAAATTATGTTTCATTTTTGAGGAAACAGATTAAAGACAGAACTTAACGAATACAAAAATAATTGTACTAAGTAATATTACTATATTTTACATTTCAGTGGCACAGTATCATTTAATCTATCATCTCTAATTTTATCTGCCTATACCTGCCATATTACTACTATAAATTACATTTTCTATTGGGTTGTTCGGAAAGTAATTTCGTTTTTTCCCATCAGAGGACTTAATTACATTTTTTCGAAACCAACTTCACACTTAAGCCGCATAACCATTATATGTCTTGAAAGCTGATATTACAAGGCTTGCTGTGGAAAAAGTTCTATTAATTCTACGCTAGTTTTAGTTGGTGCCCTTTTAAATATGGAGAGCAAGAAGCATATTTTCGTCATATTTACTTTTTACTTCAGAAAAGGTAAAATCTGTCCAGCGAAAAAAAAATTGACTTGATGTATGGAGAAGGCGTGTTAACAGTACGCCATGCCAGAACTGGTTTGCAAAGTTTTCGATCCGGCAATTTTGATGTCGAAGATGCACCACAGTCTGAAAGGCCGATCAAAGCTGACAAAGATGCGATAAAGGCATTAGTTGATGCAAATCGGCGAAACCATGTGAGAGATTGGTGAGAGGTTAAATTTGTCGAATTCGACTGTTTTGGCCATTGAAAGGCTGGGCTTACCTCGAAGCTCGATTGTGGTTGCCCCATATTCTTACGGAGCGAAATTTGTGTCGTCGCGTTGACGTGTGTGATTTGCTCCTCAAACGTCAGGAAATGCCATTTTGAAGCGATTATTACTGGGGACGAAAAACGGGTCCGTACAACAATGTGAAATGCCGAGGTCATGGAGCAGAAAGATGAACCGCTAACAGCGTTTCAAAAAGCCACATTCACCAAAAAAAGGTGTTGCTGTCCGTTTGGGGATTTCAAAGGAATGTTTTTTTTTAGCTTTTACCGACAATACAACTATTAATTCGGAAGTCTATTGTCATCAGCTGGACAAAATGATGCACTTAAACAAAGAGGCCAGAATTAACCAACATGTGTAGGTTTCCACCAGGATAATGCGAAACCTCATCAGTTTGGTCACTCGCCAAAAGCTTTTACAGCTTGAATGGGACATACTGCAACCCCTCATTCTCCAGATCTGGCACCTTCCGATTATTATTTGTTCCGTCCCTGCAAAATTTTTGGATGGTAAAACTTTACTTCAAATGAAGAGTCAAAAACCCCTGAAAACAGTTTTTTTGCCAGCAAGGACAAACTTTTATGAGCGGGGAACATGTTTACTGCCAGAAAGATGGCAAAAGGTGTTGGACCAGAATGGCCAATATATATTTAATAAATATTTATTCATTATACGAAAATTGTCTTTCATGTTCCCCCCCCAAAAAAAAACGAAATTACTTTCCGAACAACCCAATAAATCATACTGAAAAAGATGGAGAAAATACATAACAGCAAGAAATATATGTGCAAATACATTATACTTTTGATTGTTTTTATGGAATAGATCCTTTTTCAGAATGTAGCTGATTGTAACAATATATTTAATTAAAAAAAGTAATGACATGGACACATTATACAGCCAAAAGTCGTTAATTCGGACCTCAAAGCTAAAAACTTTCTGCGATGCGCCGTCATTGGACATGCACACAGGCGTTTTACCTGCGCATAGACCTTGACTACTGCGCATATGCGTGGCGCAGTGCATAATACGTTTTGCCTGCGCTTTAAAGTATACGGAGGTGTAAGCTCTAATTATCTATTTCAGTTAATGTTAATGATTGCACTGTTCCTTAATCTTTTAATTGGATCCTGTTTATTATTTTTTGCAGACTGCTAGAGCAATTTTGTAAAAATTAAGCTTGAACTTTGATTATGTCAAAAAGAATTTCCGTCGGAACTTCCAAAGGATCTACAAAGCGAAAGCTTGTTTCGATGTCCAACAAACAAAAAAGTGGAATTGCTCCAAAATGGTAAAGAAAAAAGTGACAGAGAGGTTATTGAAAACAAAAAAAAATTCGATTCACAAGTTAGTCGGTATTCTCAACACAGAAATTACAGGACTTGAACAGAACTTTTGGAACTGATTAAGAAATTATGTCTGTTTATAGAATTAAAGAGTATTATCACATAAACGAAGCAACTTAAACAACTTACATGAAAGAAATGTTTAATAAGTAAACAAATAAATATTAAGTTTTTTTTTTTTTTGTAAATTTTGATACCCTTAGATCATAATTGTTCTTTAGTTCATAAATTACGGTTTCATATTTTTAAGTTTAGAATTTCTGCATGCCATCTTACAAGATTTAAACTGATGATCTATAATCCGGAAAAATCGATAATCCGGAATTGCCGTAGTCCCGACGAGTCCGGATTAATGACTTTTGACTGTACAGGGTGATTCAAAATGAATATAGCAATTACAAATGGCTATAACTATTTAAATGAAAATAATTTATCAATAAGAATTACATAGAATGTAAAAGGAAGTTCAAAATTTTGTTTACATTATTTATAAATGTTTTATGTGACTCTCCTTAGTAGCATGGACAACATGTTAGCAGTAGCCCATTTTACGCCATATATTCTGAATTATATCTGGAGTCACTTATGTCTCAAATACCAACAAGATTCTTTCAATGTTTGCTGTCTGGTAAAGCCTCCTGAAAAGAGTGGGTGTGGAAGGAAAGATTGCGGAGATTGGCTTAACTGACAGGGATCAAGTTAGAGATTCGAACAGTTTCCTTCCTGCTCGTGACTTCGCAGAGTGCGGATGAAGTAAGAGATTCAAACAGATTCATTTCTGCTCATGACTTTGTAGAGTGCGGATGGAGTAAGAGATTCGAACAGACTCATTCCTGCTCGTGACTTTGCAGAGTGTGGATGAAGTAAAGAATACTGAACATTTGAGATTTGGAGCTTGAGGTATTCTTTTTAAAAAATTCGTCATTTAAGGTTTATTTTTCAGGTTATCATTTGCAATTAGCAAATTCATCATTTATTTTTATAATTTGAGATTTTCTTTGCTCATTTTTTAACTGTTATTCAAGTTTTTACAATATTCTTTTCAAATTTAATTTTCTGTTGATTAACGTACTTTACTTCAGTAATATTTAAGAAACAATTGAATCAAATATTACTAATGTTCCTTTATGTCAAAACTGTGCTTCTTAGGTATTAATTTTGAGTACCAGTTTGTTTTTGTGGAAAAAACTGAAAAAGTATATTCTGTTCTCTTCTTATGCTTGGCTAATGTTTTACTTATTAAGCATTTTGTAACTAATTAAATATTACTCCTCTTTTCCTCTGCAATAACTTTGCTGTTTATGCAGCTTATTATTATTATTATTATTATTGTGTGAGTGTGTGTGTAGTAATTTTGGTTTTTGTATTTCTCATTTGAGTGCCATTTTTACTTTTAGGATAATTGAAGTGTTTCAGAAAGAATTGAATATTACTGTTTTCTCTGCATAAAAACTTTGGTTTTCGGGTATGTACTTGAGTACCAGTTTTTAATTTTCACAGAGATCACATAGGATAAGCTGAAAAATCTTTTTTTTTATCCTCCGAAAAATTGTTTCTTGTGCTTTGTTAATTTTTTTTTTTTTTTTTTTGTGTTATAGAGGCATTTCAAAACTAATACAGCAATATTAATATTTCTATACAAAAGCTTTGTTGAAACAGTGTGAATTCAGAGTTCATTTTGGATAATAACTGCTGTTTTGTCTAATACCATCAATTTTACCTGTGATAAACTAAACATTTCATTTACATAAGTAAAATGTGTGTCAAAATGTAAAATTATTGTAATGTGTGTTAAAATGTAAAGTTAAGTAAAATGTTATCATGTCCACAAATATCTATGTTATATTTGATTTTTAATATGCAGCTTTATCTAGCTCTGAAAACTGTTTTTAATCATCTCATTTTTAATTGCCCTCCCATTTCGCTTCTTACATAATTTCTATCGTTCAGGAATGTTTTATTGCACTTAAATAATAGACGTGTCTGTGTTTCTAACAAAATAAATTTTTAACTTTGAAACTAGTATTATGTGTACATATTTATTCTTAAGACCTCTTTTAAACATCCTTACATAATGAAATTTTCAAGAATTTCACTTCAGTGTTTGATAATCTTTTATTTACATTTACTCATGCTCACTTTAAGCATTTAAAAATTTTTTCAGCTGAACTTTAAATATGTTCTCACCTGAATCATTTACAGAATAAAAATATTTGGCAGTTGTTCAGAGAAAATATTTGCCGTATTGCTCTTAATAATCCATAAAGTATCTTAAAATATAGATAAATGCTAAAATATTCTTATTGTCATGATTTGGCCGGATTGAAGAATGTACTTTCAGCTCGGTGGAAATTGTCATCAAATTGTTCTTAACAGAATTTTTTTGTTGATAATGACTTCCTGGTTTATCGGTGTTCAACTTGATAAAGAATACTTTATATAACAATAAAGTTAGAAACTGTATTTTCTCTCGAATGAATGATAAAGTATAACTATTATTTCTCTGTAATGCAGTTTTTATGTCTAATCTGCAGGTCACAATGATTTCATTTGTATTATATATATGCATCATTTCTCTACCTTGGATAAGTCCTTAATCTCATCTGCATGTACTGAATGGCTGAATTACAAAATAATAAATATACTGGGCATCTTAAAACAGCTCATGTACTTTCTCTTTCCAGGGTAGCACTCAAGTGGTTAAGTTAATGAATACTAATACTTTGATTCCAGGTGAAAGGGCTGACTGCATGAGCATTTTTGTGATTTCTCTATCTGCTAGTTTCCCTTAGAAAGTCCTCCATGAAGGCATCCCTCCCCTGAGGTAGATTACCCTTGCATGCTTTTTCCATAATCAAATAAAAACCAAAAAACTTTATATTTTTAGAATTTTTAACATTCTTTTCTATAACATTTTGAATAACTTATTATCTCGTAAAACTATATATTTATGTGCAGATCATTTAAATAGATATCTAAAAGCTGGTCGTAATGATTTAAAACAAAGACTTCAAAAGCTAAGAATTTTAGATAGAAACTTCAGTAGTAACATATATATAGGAGAAATTTTTTACAAAGAAGAATTGTGCTTTAACAGGAAAGCTAGAAATTATATCAATTTACAAAGTAACTGAATAGCAAATGGTTACACATTTGCTGAAATAAACATTGTATTTTATATGATTTGTTTCCTGATAAGTTTTCATAATTTTTTTCTTTTTTTTGGGGGGGGGATTCAGCATTACAAACATGTGCCAAGGTAGCAAACATGCAACCATGTGATTGAAGAACTATGTCACACATGCTCCAGCTCAACCTAATGGTGACACAATCTAAAGAGCCATTCCCACTGGAGTTTACCTGAGCTAACGAAGACAACTGATGTAGCCAACCCATTTCCAAAACCAGTTCTTCCCCATAGGGCAGCAAGTTGAAAAATTCAAACTACGGGCACAACGGAGCTAGTCGACACATGGAACTGACTCCGTTAGTTCAGACAAACCCCAGTGGGAACAGCCTTTTACGTTCCAGTTAAAGCTTTTATGCCTTTAGTTAATCTGCATTATATAATTATCAACAATTTAAAAGTTTTAAAGTCAAAATTTAAAAGTCCTAGTGGTTCTAGGACTAATGAGCCACCTTTATTTACATTTGAAACTTTTAGTAGAAGAGTGAATTAAGCCAGTCGGGGATCAACTTTCATGTCTTTTTCCCCAGTGTGCAAAAGTTAACTTTCAATTTTGTGTACTGAAAATCTGGAAAATATGGTCTTCCTGCTTGTTGGCTGAACTGCTTAGAAGCTCTAATTGTAAAAGCTGTTTTTTAACTGTATTTGATGTTTTAGGTGTTTCTGAATTTTACAGTTTTTAATGAAGATGTTTTGAATTTTTATCTATTTTATGGGTCAAGGTAATAGAGCAATATTAATAAAAAATAATTATATTTGACTTAGACTATGCATTAATCTTTAATCTAATCATAATTTATCTAAATTCTTTTAAGTATTTCTAGGCAGTTTGAAATACTTTCACAAATTTCTAATGAGAGTTTTTCATAACAGCAAAAATTTTGGCTTCTTAATTTAATTATTCAGTTTGGGCTAATTGGTTGGTATAAAATAAGCAATATTTTACAGTGAAGAATTTTAAATAATATTACAAGTGTGTATTTACATAAATTACATTTCAAGAAAAAATTGAAATGCTCCAATTCTTTAATCTGAAATGCATTCTTACCGATATTCTTTAGACAATTTGACAGCCTTCTCATAAGCAATAGGATCTCTATCTAAACAATACAGTTTAATGGCTGCTGTATTTAGTAAATGACGGCTATGACCTCCTGCCCCAAAAGTCATATCTAAAAACACCTAAAAGTAAAATGTCAATGAAAATGCAGAACATGACAAATAATAAATCAGATAAGAAATTGATAACCTAAAGATGATACATATTGCAAGGATTGCTTGAAAACAATTGTAAAAAAAAAAAAAAAAAAAAAAAAAAAAAGTCATTTTGTGCAAAACACATATTTAACTTCTCAGTGCAGCAGTCACACTGCAAACCAGCTTTTATCAAAGTTTGCAAGATGCACATTCACAGAAGTCATGACATTAATATTCAATGAAAATTCCTTCTCATTAAGCTTAAATTTTTGATTTGGAAAACAGAAAAAATCTCATGCCAACAACTGTATGTAGAACAAAAGATATCAGTTTGAATCATAATTGACAAATTTTGCTATTGCAACACTCAATTTGTGGAATGACATACTGTCTTGATGAAACAAAACTTTTGCGTACACTAGTCTCAGCCCTTCCCGTTTCAGCTTTTCTTTCAAATTATCCAAAAATATTGCATAATAAACTTCTATTCCTCCCCTTTCTCGGGCAAATTGATTAAGATGATTCCTTGGCAATTGTAAAAAACAGTAGTTGTCTGGTTCCCAGCCACAAAATGATCTTTGTTACCTTAAGCTTACTTTCACTACTCATTGAGTCCTGCTTTTGCTAATGGAGGATCCACAATATGCATTTCAATATAAAATACTCTATGGATTACATCTAAGCATAACCGAAAACTGCTTTGAAATTGCCTTTCACATATACAAAGTCCGTAATCCGGACATCCATTATCCAGAATGATCTATAATCCAGACCTCAAAGCCACAAACTTTTTTTTGTATGCTTTACGCATGCGTGTTGGGAGGATGTGTCTCCAGATACGTTAAAAAATACTTGGCATAATTTATGGCCAGCTACCATATTTCATGGTGAGGACGATGAAGATGATAGCCATGAATTTGAAGGTTTTCAGACATCGCAAACAGAAGGTGAAATTTTCCAGTTATTGGATTTTGCAAAGAAATGTGGAGAAGCTGTAATAAATGAAGATGATATAACAGAAGTTTTTCATTGCAATGACAATGCCCCAATCATCAATCAATTAACAGACGGCGAAATCTGTAGTATGGTTGTAGATCCAGAAAATATCGCTTCCGATAGTGAAGAAAGTGACAGAGAGATTATTGAAAACAAAAAATTTCGATTGACAAGTTAGTCGGTATTCTCGACACAGCAATTACAGGACTTGAACAGTGAAACTTTGTAACTGAACAAGAAATTGTGTCTGTTCATAGAATTAAAGAGAAAGTATTAGCACAAAAAATGGAACAACTTAACTTACATTGAAAGAAATGTTTAAAAAAGTAAACAAACAAATATTTTTTTTTTTTTTTCACATTTTGATACCCTTTAGATCATAATTGCTCTGTATTTCATAAATTACAGTTTCATATTTTTAATTATATAATTTTCTGCATGCCATCTTACCAGATTTAAACTGATGATTTATAATCCGGAAAAACCCATAATCTGGAATCGCCGAAGTCCCGACGAGTCCGGATTACGGGCTTTGTACTGTATTTGGTTAACAGTTAACAAATGCAGCATCCATTGAACAAACAGCTTTTTCATGTATAAATTTTCTACAGGTTACTACTACATACCCATCCATTTGAGATGGCTGCAATCTCCCAACCACTCACTTACCAGTCTCCCACATTACTGCCTTTGAGTTTTTCAATGATATCAGTATATGTGACTTCAAATGAGTATCCACAGGAAGCTTCATCATCAGTGCATGTTCAGTCATATTTATACTTACTGATCCAGAAATAAACAGCTTTAAATTCTATTGCAGAATATCTTTGCATTTCACCTAAATTCTTCTTTGATATGTTAGGCCATAGACTTCTCTAAATAAAAATCCTTTATAATAGATAGGAACTTTTTTTTAGATTGTCTGTACAACATAAACGGTATAGCGCTATTAATCAAAATCGCTTAAAGTATGACACCTGCAAATCATGACCCCACCAAATACATATTGCATTTTCTAAACATTCACCTACCACAGTTATATACTGATCCATACTTTCAAAATATGAAATATCTTTTCAGTAGAATAAACAAGTCAACAGTTCTGATTACATAATGATGTAAAAGATATACATCTGGTTGTAATATTTTTGAAAAAAAAAAAAAAAAAAAAAAAAAAAAAAAAAAAAACATTCTTAATAAAGTTGGAATAAAAAAAATGAAAGTAGTACCTTTAGTGTGGGTAATAATCACCACACAAATCTATGATTTTCTGCCAAAGTTTTCATAGTTTTTTAAAGCCTTCGGGGCTCTTCTCTTATATGCACCCTAATATCACCAAATGTGGCGATTGTTGGATTTCAAAACAATGTAGTTTGTATTTACTTTCCTTTAAATTATACTTATAATTTTACAATACTTACTACTTTTACTTTTTGGCCACCTACTAATTTTTGTTGGTTTAGTTTCTTAGAAGTGGCAACAAAACAATTCATAGAATTAGAAAAATATGTTTCTGTAGTTAGTTAGGCTTACTGGAGATTAATTGTATATTATATACCTGAGTGACGTTTTATTAAATAAATGAATACTTTAGAATATAGTAGTCTCTTTAGAATCCGCGATACACTGGTAGCGTAATAGTTTGATGCATAAGCGAACAGCGATATGTGTTCTGCGCTGGTTTTTGGCACAATTGCGTGTTGTATGGCAACCCTGTTGACGTTGAAAAAATCTTTTCTTGGAGTAATTTAATTGCTCGTTGGTTCGTGTCGTGTGTGTTTTCAAATGGCCTATGTTGAAATGAGAAACGGGGTTGCAAGATTTCAGGCGCGTATTTTAGATTGTGAGCAAAGGAAATTTAGTATTAAAAGGTGCGATGTTGGACATGTTAACGAGTTTGCTCTGTGTCTGAGAAGATAGGGGGGAAAGATAAAGTGGTGGAAATTGATGAATCGAAGTTTGGCAAAATGAAACATCATCCTGGCCATCCTGTTGAGGGGCAGTGGGTATTTGGAGGTGTGAAAAGAGGGTCGTGGAGATTATTTTTAGTGGCTGTGCATGATAGAAGTAGGGAAACGCTGATACAGTGTATTAAAGAGTGGATTGAGCCTGGTACAACTATTTTTTCGGATGGATGGAAATATTACAAGGATTTAGGAAAAGAAGGTTTTGAACATTTATTTGTGAACCATAGGATGAGTTTTCTGGATAGTGTGTCTGGCTGTCATATAAATAGGATAGTGATAACATGAAGGCATGTTAAAGGCGGTATGAAATTGGTATTTCTGCTGTTCAAAAAAGCATTCATTCATGGTAAGTGCATTTTATTTTATTCTTATTTTGTAGAATGTTATGTTCATTGTTTTTTTAGTATGAATTTCTGTCGTTATTGTTGTTTTTTTTAATTGTTTGAAATTTATTTTAGTTTATTTTGTTGATTAGTGCATAGCACCTAGATTGTGCAATTCGTAGATGTTTTTTAAAGTTGAAACAGAACGCTGTGTACATGGTATTCTTTGAAATTTATTCTTGTTATATTAATTCATTAAAGCGAGGTGTGCGTAGTTCGTAGATTCGTTCGTTGCCTAGATTATGCAATTCGTAGATGTTTTTTTAAGTTAAAACATATTACTGTGTACATGGATGCTTGTCAAAGATTTTTGGTTAGAAACTTTATGTTTTTGCTATCTAAATTTTTTGTTTTTGTTTTGGATTTTTAGCTTAAATTAAATGTTCAAAACGTTTTTTTTTTTTTTTTTTTTTTTTTTTTTTTTTGCATGTGCGAAAACTGCGTTTTTGGAGACATTTTACGCTTGAAGTTTGAAATATAGACAAAAAATTTAGATAGTAATATGGCAGCGTGGAGTTTCTCACCAAAAATGTTTGGAGAGAAATTTGGTGACCTGAGGGTGCATATATGAGTATTCTGCCTTTGGCCCAGAAGCTTGAAGGCTACGAGTTAAAAAAAAACAGATAAACCTCATTTTGGGCATCCTGCGCAAAATGGAAGACAGCACCACCAAGATGTGGCTGCAGGTGTTAAAAAAGGTGGAAGTCCCAAGGAGTGCTGTCGGAACCATATGGTGGGTCTGGTTAAAGATCTCATTAGAGTCCGCACAGAGTCAAGCCGGTGAATGCAGACACACGTGGTCTTGCATTATCTTGACGGAACATTAGCTTTTTGTGTCTTAACTCAGTTCGATGTTTTTCCTTGGTACCAGCGTCAATACAAGCAGTATCTCGCTGTACTTCTTACTGTTGAGGGTTTTACTTGGCTGATTTTTGGAATATGGTAACTGGTAGTTTGGCGACATTTTGGAGGCGATAAAGGTTACTACCTAGGACTTTGGTAATAATGTGAGAAGTACTTAGTTCCGATTACGCATTATTTTGTGTGAGGGAAACGAGAGATCATGAGACATGTCATGTGACATTAATGGATTAATTACAGTTCTTTACTCAGAAAAGGGGGGGGGGAATTTGGAAAACTGTAGAGCTATATTATTTTGTATTAAGCTTCATTGTGTGTTGTGTGAAATAGTGGAAGTGTGCGTGCCATGTAATGAAGATTCTGAAGATTAGGTAAGTTAGTATTTTTAATCATTTGAGGATATTATTTTTATGCATTGTTCTAAATGTAAGGAGTAAATAAATTAATATGATATCATTGGAAAATTGTTATTAGCAATGATTTAGTTTAAAGTAATTAGGATTGTAATCTAATTTTTATTAATTTAATGTATGTGCTTATTTATATTTTAAGTAGTGTTTTTTAATTTAATTATATTTTAATTTAATGATCGTGATTTTGTGAGTTATATGTTTGTAGTATTTTGGAATACGTTTGAGTATTTTCATGCATTTTCGTGAAATTTTCTAATTTATGAGAAAAAAGCAGTATACATGGATGTAGTGAAGAGTGAATATAATAGATAATTTAGAGGTAAAAGTTTCTGGATATTTTATTTATTTTATACGTGTAAATGTTCATCTTTGGAAAGGGTATATACTTTTTCGCGATCAGGTAATTTCATATATGTTTTTTTAACCGGATTTAAAGATTCACAAAATTTTCATGCATTTTCATGAAATTTTTGTAATTTATGAGAAAAAAGTAGTGTACATGGATATAGTGAAGAGTGTGCACAATGCCATTTTTGTGCAATTCTGGGATGTTTTTTAAGTAAAAATAAGTTGACGTGTATATGGTTTAGTGATATTTTAATTAAATGATAGTTATTTTGTGAATTTTATGTTTGTAGGAATTTGGTATATGTTTCAGTTGAAGTAAACGTGCATGGAAATAATTTAAATATTTGACACTACGTATTTGTAACCATTTGTAATGTTTGCGGTATGAATTCGTTGGTGACATTTATAATATAATAGATAATTTAGAGGTAAAAGTTTTTGGATATTTTATTTATTTTATACGTGGAAATGTTCATCCTTGGAATTGGGTATATACTTTTTCGTGATCAGGTAATTTCATATATGTGCTTTTTACCGAGTTTAAAGATTCACAGAATTTTTTTGCATTTTCGTGCAAATTTTTGTAATTTATGAGAAAATAGCAGTGTAGGTGGATAAAGTTAAGAGTGTGTGCAATGCCATTTTTGTGCAATTCTGGGATGTTTTTTTAAGTAAAAATAAGTCGACGTGTAAATGGTTTATGTGTATGTGCTATTCTGAAAAACGCGCAAAGAGTTTGCAATTCTGTACTTTTTCCCAATTTTGAAGTTAATATTTGTCATGATTAAGCAGTTTTGTTTCATAAAATTTCTAGCATAAGTGTAATTCGGCTAGTAGATTGTTGGAAAAAGTGTTTAGTAAATAAAAAGAAAAGAAACATGTCTTTACTTCGTGAAGACAAAATGGCGGCGGAAAAAAAAAATAGAGGTTTGCTGTAGCAGAGTTGGTCGCCAAAAAATCGCCAAGTTACCATAATCCAAAGATCAACCGCAGCTTTTTTGTGGCTATATATGGTGTAGAAATAAGAGTTTCCAATTCTGCAAGATTATTCCAGTCTTTCTGTTAGGGAAACATTAGGATCTACTTCTAAAAAAGTTCTTAATTCTAAAATTTCTTTATCATCAAATATGTACTTCCTTATCGCATTGCTTGATCAATAATTGCTCCTTTTCCTGCTCGCTTCCTAAGAACGGCATCAATTTTAGGAGTTCTTGCTGCTTACCTAAATTTACCAGTGAGATAAAATATGATTAAACAGGCCAACACAAACTGTTTGCACAGACAATATTTGCAGTGGCAGAAAACTTTTGTTAAAACCTGATATTTCTAAAATAATGTCTGGTCTTAACATTGCGAGTTGCTTTCCCTCTGCACAACAGATATCTAAAAAATCTACAAAAAATTCCTAATACAGATTAAGATGAATTAAGATACATTACCCAATAAATAGAGATATTAAAAATACTATCTTTTATAACAATGGCAGAGTGATATTTTGTGAAATATTAACGATTACATAAACATAATATCATCCTGAGTTTGAAATCCAATTATGACATAATGATATCTATTAAGATTTCTTAATTATTGTTTTGAAATCATGAAAAAATTACAACACTTAAAATACCGTACGATTTTTAGGACAGAAACTCTACATAATTTTATGTCATTTAAATTTCATTACACTGATCTAATTTACCTTAACCACCAAAATTATCATTTGGTTAAGAAAACTCACAATCAAATTAATTTTGGTTTAACAAAAATTGCCAAATTAACTGCTATTGCAATCATAAATGTTTTATATTGTTTGAAGTTCAGATATACCAACCTGGTTATCCGATGGTTGTAGTGCTTTCAAAACTTCATTCGGCATTACAGGTGTATGACCAAATTCTTCTTCATACTGGCTATTAGCTTCATTTGCAGTAGCTGAACTGAAATATAGATTACTGTAAACAGCTTTTCGAAATGCTCGAAAAATGTTTCCGAAGAATTTCTTCTGAAGAATCATTATGCTAGAATAGCGATAATTAGAATTCCTTCATAAATAAATTACGAATTAACCTATATTAAGTTAAAAAAATAAAGCATCTATTTATAAAATGATTGATTCACGTTACAGAATGTTTTTTGTTATTTGAATAGTTGAATTACCGCATTTTCCACATTTATTTGTTTACTACACGGAGGTTAGACATGTATGAGTTGAGTAGGAGGCTAGCTGAACCTGAATTGATCTGATTTGACCCTGGTGTGCAAAAGAGGAAGACAAATATAAACCTGAAAAAATCCCAAGTTTTTCATATTAGGAAATATCGTTCTAAAGACTCTATCACACCCTTCGAGAAGCAGATTGTAAGGCTAAATAATACTAATTAGCTACGAATGACGCTGAACAACAACTTCACATGGACTTCACACACATCATCAAAGCAAGTAGCAAGGCTGTGAGAGTCACAATTTGATTTTACCAATAAAGGAGCAGCTTCTGTCTATGAACAGGAAAAGGCAAATCACTAAATGATCAGCTTCTGTCTCTGAACAGGAAAGGCAAGAGAAAAGGATATACGGACTTTGCAAAGATTACGAAATAAAGTACTCGGATTTATAACTGGAGCCCCGTATTTCGAGTGGAATAAGAACATTCATACCGATTTAAAGATTGACTTCTTTCTTGATTCTCTTCACAGAAGTAACAAAAATTATTTTAAAATACTGCGGACTTTGTAAATGTTCTTTTATATGAAATTCTCGAAGATCAGCATATCAGGCCCTTCGCTGCTTTTTATCTTAACTATGCAACATGAATCACTTAATTCAAATTAATTAAAATACTACCATGCACGTGACTGATTCAAATGCAGCTGATTGGACATATTCAGTGCAGATCTCAGCCGTCAACTGCTTTTTTATCTATCTGAAACCGGTGATATCTTGTTTTGTCACTCTCCGGATGCGTCTGAGGAGTAAATCCAAGATTTCCAGGCTGAAGTAATGCACAATTTTGCACGAGAGCGAGTCAGCTTGAAAACTAAGAAGATGAAAGCCCGATACGATACGATCCATTCAACGAAGGTGACAAGGTGTAGTTATGGAATTCGATTCGCCGGAAAGGACTATCTCCTAAACTACAGTCACACTGGGATGATCCTTACACAGTCCTAAGCAGGCTGAACGACGTCGTAGTTCAGATTCGTAAGGCATCAGATTCTAAGCCTAAAGTCGTTTATTATGACAGGCTAGCCCCTTACTATGATATAGTAAGCGGCATAGTATGTATTCTTCATAATGTATATCGTGTAAATAGTATACTAAGACCATGGTCATATTTGGATATAAAGTTGTAAATTTACTCATTTATTTGTTGGTTTAGCATGTGGTTTGTTTTATGTCATTTATTGCAATTATTGTTTAAGTGTTGTCTTGATTTGCCTTACTTCTAAACAAGACTTCCTGTCCAGGGATTGCACTGCTCGGGACGTGCAGTCCTCGGGAAGGAGGCAATGTTACGAATTTTGCACATATAGGGATAATTTTAATGAAATTATATGCGAAATTGTTGTATTTTTCTGTGTAATGTAACATGAAAATATAGAGATAGGATATTCTACCTGAAAAATAAAAGGACAGGGGCAAGGCTATTTAACACTGAGTAAATGGCTTTGTCGCTAAATTGGAGAGATATCTCCAAGTTGGCATTGGGTTTGGCGACTAATTGTTGTCACAAATTTGGCAAGAAATGACCAAAGGTTGCCAGACTTGGTGACATTCTAATCCGGTCCCTGTATCATTGTAACTGAATAAATGTATTTGGTCACTATATTAACTGTAACCTTATCTGACCCTCCTATCCCTTCCAGTAATTTCGGGAAGTAGAAAGCACTAGAAATATCTCGGGAGCCGGGTGAAATCTATATAAGGCCAGAGAGAATATCTGCTCTCAGTTGTTTTTGTGAGTTGTTGGTTTGGAGCACTGAAATATCACCTAGTTAGCTTCCTCTTTAGGTGCGCTTTGCAATGTGTTTAACGTTTTATAGTTTGAACTGTAACTATAGATCGTACTCTTTGATACTTGTACGAGTATTTCTGTAGAAAGTCCCAGAATTCTGAAATGTTAATTTGATAAAATAAATTTTATCATCCTATCATCGGACCTGTGTCCTTTTTTTCTATTACGAATTCGTACGCACGCAACCTTATGTTACTTGCTTTGGTCGGACTGTTAAAAATTGTACTGATTAAAAGAGAATATTTGATAGTTTTATTTCTGCTGAAAAGGGATATATCATATGCCTAGTAGTAACATAGACAATGTAATTGTAATAGAGGGTGCTTATAAATGAATAGTGCGGTTTTAAAAATTAATAACAAATCGATGTATTACCTTAACCGTATAAAACTTACACCGTAAGCATACACCGTAAGCTGCCCAAGTTTCTCATGTGCTACCTGCTGCTTGCTTATCATGCTTACTATAATAAGCCACAGCGTCAGTTTCCAAGATGACGCCGCAATAGGTAAACGCTTTCTTTGTGCTCCGCTTTGAGATTTCCAGATTTGTGCTTTCAGTGCAGCATGAGTTTCATGTACGTTTTCTGTGAGGTGTCTCGCAAGAAAGTTCACGGCAATCTGTGATCGGTGATTCCTTTCTAGACCTGTTGCAAATTTAGTTGTTACCCTAGCTGAATACCAATTATGATGATTACATTTAGCAACTGGACGGTGCTCCGCCTCATTTTCACAGGAATGTACGAGAGCTTCTTAATCGTGATCTTCATCACCGTTTGATTCGACGTGCTGCAACAGCAGACAACCTTCTCCCCTGGCCACCCCGTTCGCCAGAATTTACACCATGCGATTTCTTTCTTTAAGAGTTTATTAATGACCCAGTTTATGTACCTCCAGTGCCCGTGTCCGTTGAGGAAATTTGTGGTCGACTAAAGCATGCGCTGCAGACTGTCACGGCGAACATGCTACACCGAGTAGGGGGAAGAATTTGATTACCCTGTAGATGTGGGTCGTGTGGGCAAGGGTGAGCAAATTGAAGAATTGTGATTAACGCATCAAAAACTTGGGCAGTTGTAGCTGCTTATGCTATAAAATTTTGCCCATATATGTTCATTATATATTCATCATATATATATTCATTTATAAACACCCTGTATATAATAGTAGCTGGTAGCGTAGAATAATTGATCTCGTATAATCTTATTTCAGTTTATTATAATTATATAACAAGCCATACACGACACACTGAATAGAAGAGCTATTCTAGTATTAATTCTTTTAAATGAAATGTCTGAATTAAGTGAATCAATTATTTTTAACCTTTTCCTGGGTGTTGCTCACCTTAAAGGAACAAAATTATTGTATTTGTTTTAGATTCAATTCAAAAATTAGAAACTATTTATAAAATTAGAAAACTGATTTCGTTTTGAAGTGGTTAAAAATGACTAAATAGATTGAACATGGAATTTTGTTTTTAAATTCATGTTTTGCTTACGTAAATTAATTTATTTTTCCAAGAATTTTTTAGGGAAGGGTTTTTAGCATTATTTTAATATTTTCAGTCATATGAACTATTTCTAATTCTTTTGCGACATGTCAATCGAATTTCATCGTTTTAGAAATAGAGTTTTTTTTTTTAATATAGAAATAGATTTTTTTTTTACAGAAGTCCTTGCAACCTGTACTGACAGACAATGCCAAGATTATTTCTGTGTATTCCTTCAAATGATGCGGAAATGGACCAGCCAAAGTAAATAAATAAAACAATAAATAAAAGAAAACGACAGTCGCAGCAAAACGGGAAAATGATGCTCTCATTTTAAGTAACGTCTTTGTTTTTTACATACATAATAGTTCTATCAACAATGCGGAAGTAGCCTTTTTGTACCTCAAATAACTATAAAAGAAAAAAAAGGGTCTGCCTAAATTAGGGGTGAGGAAGAGAATTCCTTAAAATAATACTAAAACGGGAGCATTAATGCTCAACCTTGACTTTAAACATTAGCAGGAAGTATAATGGTTACATGCGCTTCGATGACAGAATGCCAGGTGGTGATAATTTAATAAGTAAAGCCAAATTATAACGTGAGCCATTTTTAACCACTTTTGACAGGAAACAGTTTTTGAATTAAAACACCAAGATGCATTCAAATGTTAACATTCTACATTTTGAACTGATTCGACTGTTTACGGTGAGCATACAGAGACGGGTTAATGCATTAATGAATTTGCGGGTTAAAATGGCATCAAAAAGCTTCAATTTTTTTTTTTTTTTTTTTTTTTATGTGGCTGACTTATTACTACAATGTCTAAAATTTCATGGTTCCACAAATTCTCTTGATAAAAGAAAACTTTGTCGAAGAACATAAATAGATTTAGTTTTTCAGATTAAATTAATCTTAAGCGGAGTCTCCAAAATCATTGTTTCGTTACACTCATTACTTTAGGTAATTCGCTTTGGCAAATATTGCCATTGCGCTGAAACATAGGTCTTTAATTTATCTCATATTTATCGTGCTCAGCCAGCTCTCAGTGTGTCGCTATTTGGTAAAACGTTAAGTTCATCTTTTAAACTCAATCGGCATTTAAGTGCTTAAAACGAGCGATTTAAAAGCATTTTTTTTCCAGCTTAGTGTAATTTAAAATATATTTTTAATAATATATCCAACTGGTAATTTTATGAGCATTTGCAGCGTCATTATAATTAGTAAAAGATATTTTTAACTTTCAAGTAATACTTTATTTTTTAATATGTTTTACTTATTAATTAGTAGATTTTTGTAGCTTTACTTTTTATTTTAAAAGAAAAGGAAATAACTTGTATTCATGTGAGGGAAACAACTCGAAAAACACCCATATCCCGTTCCCTCATCTGCGAAGCCTGAGTCGAATTGCTGGTATTCAGGTCTTAATTTCATAATTGCCAATTGGTGCAGCCTTTAAGACAACGGAGTTACTGAAAACGGGGAGAAAAAATAACAACAATTATCCAGTTTTTCCGCACTTTCACGAATGGAATGGCAGCGCTAGCGTACGGCAGGAATATTTGTGAAAAGTGTGTCAGATTATCAAGTGTGCCAAACCTCTGGATGCTAAATTGTTAAACTTTTATTCCAGGGATGGGCCACCTACCGCCCGCCGAAAGGTTTCATCCAGCCCACGGATAGAATTTTAATTTTCCGGT